CATAGCAATTTCACAACGCTGACTAAAAAAATAAACAAGATGTTTACCTAAATTTTGAATGTCCTAGAAAAGATTAAAAATTAATAAAATTAAGAAAATAATAAAAAATATTTGATCTTTAATTTTAATAACAACATAAATATAACGCTAAAACCTTGTTTTCATCAAGTTTGCGGACTTTTCATCATGCTATGCTCTTTTTTAGGGAAAAGTGGAGTTACTTACTATTAAGAGTAAAGCCTAAAGATAATTTATGTAAAATTTATTATTTTAAATCTTTTTATAACCCCTGAAATTTTCTAGCATTCTCTAACATGTTAAATTAGTCTGGAAAATTTGGACGTCTTTTTGCGGTGAAAAATACATTGATTTTGAAATTCCTGCAAAATACTGATAATTGTTAGATTTAAACTTATTCACAAATGAATTGTTTTTGAAATGTTTCACTTTTAGTAAGCCTTGGTAAAAATATTTTTTTTTTTACCTTTGTTACCCGACAATTAATTTAAATTTATCAAAGTTCGAGAAAGAACAAGGAGAATTTAAATCATTAATTTTGGGGAGAGACAAACAAGACTTACGCGTACAGAAAAGCTGCTTTGAATCACAAAATAAAAAAATATGGAAACTACTGCCTTAAGAAAGAATACATATATTTGAATCTCACAATGGATGTTTGAAACATTATTTTCAATTTACTACCCCATTTATCCCCTGTGTCTTATTCAGTATATATATATATATATATATATATATATATATATATATATAAAAGAAATATGTTGTAGTGGTTCCAACGAGAGAAAAGTATGTATATTAAAAAGAAGAGGGGTGCCGCAAACGTTTTTGGTTGTAATGTGGATTTATTGAGAAAAAATATTATACTTTGTTTTACATAATTTCACGACACGTGTTTCTGGTCTGGTCTCGCAAACCGTCTTCAGGTGAAAGTGGAGATTTTTACATATTATTAAAAATAATTAATTTTTCTTCATGTTCAATGTGGAATATTCTCGATATGAGACATTCTGTTTGTGTGTTGGCAATCCGAATTTTCTTTCTAGAATTGTCAATGAAGAGTTCTGCGTGAAGGGTCATAAAACAATTAAGGTTTGTCCAGCGAGTAGTTATCGGCATTTAATCTTTTAATGTTTTAGTGACCTCTATGTGCTCTTGGATCTGTTTCTATTTTGGCGTGTTCCTGTCAGCATGCGTGTATATATGCGTGCGTATATTTCCTTACTACGAGGAATTCGTAAACTTATTTGTACTTATACACGCATACACACACATACGCACATACACACTATCCCACCACAAGTAGTCAGTACACACACACATATACACACATATTTCCCAAGCTACATGGAAGCTTTCGGCTTACATAAGCCATTATCAAAGATGACACTTACATTTCAATATATTAAACAATACATGGACAAAACAATAATCTGTTTCTGTTGCATGAAAGATTTCCAAGCATCGACACACTCGTGTATATGAGACGCTGAAGCGAAAATCGCACCGCAGCTCGTGACGTCACACATGACCACGCGAGAGTGGAAACGAGAAGGATTAAGTATGGGAAGCCGTTGGTATAAACCAATGGCTTCTGATATCAATTATAGGCATTTAAGAATATTTGTGGAGATTTGAATAAATGAAAGGAATTTAGTTAAAATAAATAGACAAAACTTTTCTATATTATTTAATGAAACATGCATCAATGAAAAAATGCTGCCAAAATAAACACAATATATATATATATATATATCAGTATATATATATATATATATATATATATATATATATATTTCAATTAAAGGTGCAAATTATAATTTATAAATTCATGAATCATACAAAAAAAAAATAGAGAGGTTAATGATTTAAATGGCGAGAATACATCTTCGAAAACAATATAAATAAGATACATCAACCCCGAACCTGTATATGAATGATATGATCCCTGTTTATAAATTCCAGTTGCATAAGGTCTTTTAATTTTTTACAAGCTTTCGTCTGTTCCAACAGACATCCTCAGGTATGAAAAAAAATAGATTTTGTTTATGTTTTTACTTCTTGTTTTACATTTGTTTTTTTGCGAATGATTCATGAATTTATATATATATATATATATATATATATATATATATATATATATATATATATATACACATACTAGCAAAAACAACCTCGCAATATACAAAAGTCGTGATAGATCAAAGAAGATAGAGGGGGCATAAAAAGATAAAAAGAAGACCTGCTTCCTTCGCTTTCTCTGACCGAGCTTAATTAGTTTATTACTCCTTAAGCTGAAGAATACTTTCGCCACCAGTCCAAGAAAAACATTTGAGTTACTACTACACAAAAAAGCAATGGTTAAACATGAGAAAACATAAGGAAAATTAATTCCTTTTAATAATATGCGGAATAAGCGTTTGCATGAAAGTCGCGTGACCGAAAACACGTGTAGCCAAAATATGGAAAATAAAGTATAATATATATATATATATATATATATATATATATATATATATATATATATATATATATATATATATATATGATCCACATTGTAACGAAAAAGTTTACGGTTTCTCTTTTCTTTTTAAAATATACATTTTCCTCTCGTTCGAACAATTATAACCTCCTCCTTATATATATATATATATATATATATATATATATATATATATATATATATATATATATATATATATATATATATAGGGTGATCTTAACTTTACCTTCATATTATTTCATATAACATATTATATTTAAACTCAATTTTTCTGTTTTCATATGCACATTAATTCAATTTCTTAAATTAACAATTTTTGTTAATTTTGTTATTATTTTATTTTTTATTTTGACGTCTATTATTTTAACGTCTTAATATATTTATTCATCCTTTAATATGTATATATACACTGCGGCCAAATTATTATCGCGATACATTTTTTCTAATATTTCAAAAACCGTCCAATCAATTTAAACAAAATTTTCACACAATGTTGGCAACACTGACCTGCGCAATCACTGAAATTTTCCTACTGATCTGCGCAATGTAAACAAACTGGCACCATATTTGTTATCAGCACGTTGATTTGAGCGTGCCAAATTATTACAAAAGTATAAGAATTTAGTGAATAGATGTGCCGTAAAAGCAGTTTAAGTGATGCTGAAAAGAAAACTATGACCTTAGAACTCTCAAAAGGTAAATCTACCCTAGAAATTTCTAAAATGATAAGGAGGTGTCATCAAACAGTGAAAAAGTTCACCGCCGACCCTATACAAGTACGCAAAAGGGCAGATGAAGGCAAGCCGAGAGTTATTTCTAGTCGTCTCATGTCACGACTTAAACGAGAGGCCACGAAGAACCCTGGACTTACCAGTCAAGAGCTTTTCAGTCGCATTGGGGATCCTACTGTGTCTAAAAGTACTCGGTGTCGGTATATGAAGGAAATAGCAACAACAGTCAAACCTGTATCGAAGCCTCCGTTGACGAGAAATCACATTCAAAATCGATTGAAATGGGCCGAGAACAATATGAAGATTGACTTCTCTAAAGTTTTGTTCACAGACGAAACTCGAGTAACACTTGATGGGCCAGATAGATGATGCAAAGGCTGGGTAATGAACGGACAGAATCGCCATCTGTGTTTGAGACACCAACAAGGCGGTGGAGGCATAATGATCTGGGGTGGTATTATAGGAAAAACATTAGTGGGCCCATGGAGAGTACCAGATGGCGTCAAAATGACTGCTGATGCATACATAGCGTTTATGAAGGAGCATCTTGAACCGTGGATGAAAAGGCAAAGAGTTGCCTTCAGAAGGGCCATTGTTTTTATGCAAGATAATGCTCCCTCACATGCTGCTCACAAGACTACTGAATATTTGAAACAGTTAGGCTTCGATGGACCTCGAAACATGAAGTGGCCAGCAAATTCTCCGGATTTTAACCCAATCGAAAAACTTCGGAGGATCATGAAGCGAAGACTGTACGCCCAACGGGCGACAATTCAGGAGCAACGCTGAGTTGTGGGAAGCAATTCTTGACATATCTCGCGGCATTACAGCAGATGACATCCTACAATTAACAAATTCTATGGATCGTCGAGTTTTCCAAGTAATTTCAAAACAGGGAAAGCACATTCCCTATTAATTTGTTAAAAAACTGTGCCATTGTTTGTATCTGTTATTAATTGTTTGATTATCTTATTTATTAGCTTCTTTTGATCATAAATATTCACGTGCAACATTAATAAACGTTTTGTTTGCTCAATTCTGGGAATTTTACTAAACCTTTCTAATAATTTGGCACGTTCAAATCAACGTGCTGATAACAAATATGGCGCCAGTTTGTTTACATTGCGCAGATCAGTACGAAAACTTCAGTGATTACGAAGGTCAGTGTTGCCAAACTTGAGCGAAAATTTTGTGTGAATTGATTGGGCGGTTTTTGAAATATTAGAAAAAAGTTATCTCGATAATAATTTGCACGCAGTATTAATATATGTATATTAAATTATTAATATATATATATATATATATATATATATATATATATATATATATATATATATAAAAGTATTAATATATATATATATATTAAAGTATTAATATATAGATATATTAAAGTATTAATATGTATATATATATATATATGAATAGGCTAAGATAGATACATAAATACGAACAGACTGAGAGATAGATACAGAGATATAAACAGATTGATATATATATATATATATATATATATATAATTTTTTTTTTAAATTATAACATAAATATGTTATAAAATCACTACAAAATAGCCATTTTGTTTCAATTGGAATTCATTTGTCTTATTGGAATTCATTCCATATACCAATTATATACTCGGGTATATATATATATATATATATATATATATATATATATATATATATATATATATATATATATATATATATATATATATATATATGTGTGTGTGTGTGTGTGTGTGAATAGACTGAGATAAATACATAGATACGAACCGACTGAGATAGATAGATAGATAGATAGATAGATAGATAGATAGATAGATAGATAGATAAGAATCAGCCGACGGAAACAGAACATACATACATACATACATACATACATACATACACATACATGCATACATATACACATACATACATGCATGAATTATTCACATGGTGAGATTTCACATAAGAACGTATTTCTAGATGAAGATAGATTGAAGTGATGAAACGTTAACACAAATATTTCGTTCTTTTTTCAGACGTTATTCTGATTAAATTACTAAATCTATCTATCTATCTATCTATCTATCTATCTATCTATCTATCTATCTATCTATCTATCACAGTCTGTTTATATCTATCTATTTATCTATCTATCTATCACAGTCTGTTTTATATATATATATATATATATATATATATATATATATATATATATATATATATATATATCACAGTTTGTTTATATCTATCACAGTCTGTTTTATATATATATATATATATATATATATATATATATATATATCACATCTCTTTATATCTATCTATCTATCTATCTATCTATATATATATATATATATATATATATATATATATATATATATATATATCACAGTCTGTTTATATCTATCTATCTATCTATCTATCTATCTATCTATCTATCTATCTATCCCGGTCAGTTCATATCTATCTATCTATACAATTTCTTTAGCAATTTTCAACATAAAATTCAAGTAAACGCCCAAAATGAGTGGGCATGGGTTCTCCGAATGTAAAAACCAGAAATTTGCTTCAACGACTTACGAACCAATGTCGAAATGAAGATTATGAAGTACAAGCAGAATTAAAAGTCCATCAAACCAGTTCGAATATCGTCAGGAAGCGGGGGGAGTATTATTTCCTGCAGAAACAATTTGGCTTGGAAAAAAGATTTGCCAATAATTTAAACATTTGCCTTTTGCGATTCCCCCAAAAAACAGATGTTTACTTTTACTACCACTAGTTTTTGGTATAATTCTATCTTGTGTCGGCTTAGTTTTACAATCAAACCTGCAGTGTCTTCATTTGTTTAGTTGAAATAAAGCCAAGCATCTAAGCAAGAAGCGGTAATATCTTAATTTTTCACACACACACACGCACACACACATATATGAACAGTGCTCGATGTTATATAACAGAGCTATTATATATATATATATATATATATATATATATATATTTGACAATTGGAAAAAAAATCTTAGATTTTGCTGACACGTTTCATCTTCTGACTTTTTCAAGGCAAAAATGAAAATGTTTTTGTTGTTATAGTTACATTAAAAAATCCAAATTTAAAAAGATAGACGCTTCTGTCTAAGCCTTTTTTCTGGTTAATGTAAATTACCTTTATAGTAAGGGATTTTTTTACCTATAAAGGTAATTTACATTAACCAGAAAAAAAATGCTTACAAAGAAGCGTCCATCTTTTTAAATTTGGATTTATAGCAACAAAAATATTTCGATTTCATTTTTGCCTTGAAAAAGTCGGAAGACGAAACGCGTCGGCAAAATCTTAATTTTTTTTCCAATTGTCATTGTATACCAATCTGTCTTGTTCACAGAATTGATCTGGGAATTTAATATATATATATATATATATATATATATATATATATATATATATATATATATATATATATATATATATATATTAATAAATGTACATATTGTCCCACGCCGTTGACACTACTTGGAGTTTCATGCTCTTGACTAAAAGAAAAAGCGAAAGAAAATGAGTGTTACTAGTTTATAACTCTGTCGGGATTATATACCCAAATTTATATCATACTGTTGCTATGGAGAATGCAGGTTATAAAGCAAATCTTTCATTTATTTTCTATCCATTCTGAAGGATTTCTATCTCTAAAGTCGGACACTTAAGACGGAGAATATAAAATGTAAAACAATTTTTTAAAGTCACTTTTTTTTCTTTCTTTTTAGTCACGAGCAACGCCATCTTGGGAAATATATAAGATTTCATTATTTTAAAAACACACAAATAAATACACATGCGACACATTTTTTCGTCTCCCATCTGATGAATCCAAACTGGCGAAATACACAGTCGGATTTTTTTTTCAAGACATATTTTCATGAACGATTTTCCAAATGCCAATATTTTCATACATATATACTCATAATCTGCTCCTCTATCGTTCTTACAACAACCGAATTCATAAGCTTCCATCTTGAGTGGCTCGTACGCCTTGCAGTTTGGGTCTATAAACAAGAAACAGTTAATGAAAGGAAACTGAAGACCGACATTTCTTTCTTACAATTCTTTGGCTATATATTTTATACAAAAATATTGTATTTTGAGGTTTGCTTCAAACAAGAAATATCCCCAAATCTTCGTGATTCAAGAATGTTTTAAGCTTCCTGCAACTACAAGCGAAAACAACAAGAAAACAAATCTTGGTGACTAAAAAGAAACCATACCTGTCTTCAGATGTTTGATTTAGCTCCCCAATCCACGATTTTAAATGCCAACTTTTTTCGATTAGGTCATTGTTTGAAGGTTATATTTGTTGCCGGAGTTGTAACCTCCCAACGATAAATCCCGGATTTTACTAGAGCCGGTTCTGCAGTATTATTTCCATTTCCATACTCGGGAGGTATGAGGGGAGGTGAATATTTGCAGACTTGAAGGAATTCCCCCAATAGTTGGTTCCTTTATCACAATAATATATCCGTTCATATCTACGTTGCACATCCTGTTTACTTCAAGATCAACATATTCATATTTCTATCATTCTACGTTATGGACCTCAGCATTTAGTCGTCTGCTGTTCAGCCTTTAATATATATATATATATATATATATATATATATATATGTAACCCGGATATAAGAGAGTTGTCGGGACCGGAGAAGTCTCTTATATCCGGGTTTCTCTATATCCGGGTTTGGTCTATTTTGTTTAGGTAACACAGGCTCTAATTTGGGACCAGAGAAAATCTCTCTTATATCCGGGTTTCTCTTATATCCTGGTCTCTTATATCCGGGTTACACTGTGTATATACATATATATATATATATATATATATATATATAGAGAGAGAGAGAGAGAGAGAAAGAAAGAAAGATAGAGAGAAACATATATATAGGTATAAGAGAGACATATGTATATATATTTGTATATATATATATATATGTATATATATATATATATATATATATATATATATATATATATATATATATATAAAAGTAAAAACTGAGGTCAACACCAGCAATGACAGTTTGTTTCATTCTTAAACGCAATATTCAAGCCACACACACACACACACACACACACACACGTATATATATATATATATATATATATATATATATATATATATATATATATATATATATATGTATGTATGTATTATAAAGAATGTCAAATCCGAAGGTTGTGGGGATTATTTCAATGAGGTCTTTTAATATAAAAATATTAAAAAGTTAACTCCATTATGAGAGCTATATATATAAGTTTATATAGAGAGCAATATAAAGATATAAATAATTATATATATGTTGTAGCATACCCACGGACGATAATGGCTATGTCTTCATTCACATAAATACAGTAGTAAATACTGTATGTTGGTCTGCAGTTGGAGATTCGTCTCCAGCCGTGCTGGTCAAACTCTCTGACTCCGGGCAGAGAGGATCCCCAGACGAGGCTATATCGAAGGGCAGTCTCGTCTCAGGCAACAGCTACCCGTCCCCGGGGAATTTTTGGTCGAGCCAACGGGCTCGGATACCCAACATTAAATTCGGCCTTGTACCGCATCTGAGCACGTGGGGCAGTTAGTATATATCCTGCAGTTGGAGGTTCATTGTGGAATTAACTTGACACACTTCTAGCAGTTGACTACTACTTCTACGCGCCGCTGGCGAATCTTATATGTGTTGTTCTTGTCCTAAGTATTATCGTTCATTACCAAACTTCGTGTGATTATTCTAATCAGTAACCTTCACCAGGTTACAACAGTATATATATATATATATATATATATATATATATATATATATATATATATATATATATATATATATAAGAATGCAGATATATATTTGTATTGACTTTTTTGTAAAAGTATTTTTGATATGGCTTCTTTGTGCGCGTGTGTGTGTGTTTGTGTGTGTACATAATTAAACTATTACTGTCTAATGTTTCTTTCAAATTTTTGCCTAATCAGCCTTGCTGGCTAATTGCAAACTTAGGGCTGACGATTTTAAATTTAGTTAACTTCTTTCTAAAAACAAATTGGATGCCAGTCACTAATGGATTAAAACAAATGAGATAAATATATAACAATCCTAGTAGCAATCCGAGTAACACACGGAGATAGACAACTACAGCGCCTTGCATAAGTATTCACCCTCTCAATTTTTTTCATATTTTGTCACGTTACAACCACAAATTGAAATGTTTTTTTATCGGTGTTTTTATGCAATGGACCAACCCAAAATAATGCATAATTTTAAAGTGAGGAAAATATCACATGGTTTTCACAATTATTTACAAATAAAAATCTGAAATGTGTAAAGTACCTAAGCATCCACCAACCTTTACTGTGCATTCTTTAAATCAAATCCAGTGCAACCAATTGCCATCAAAATTAATGAAAGTGTTGCTCCAAAAAGCGATGTGGCTTTTAAAGAGGAACTGATATTTTTTATTTTTTTATTATGCTTTTCATTGTTTCTTATATCATATTATTCATTTTATTCTGATGCATTTACTAAATTTATTCATTAAAATACATATTGTTTAAGGTGTTGTATATATCGACTGTTTTCTTTTTAAAGTAATTGATATTAATTACTTTATTTATTATATATTTATATACATATATTTTAATACATTGTGTCTATTATTTATACTTTGGTTTGAATAATTGTACCGTATTTATATTTTAACGTAACATGTTTTAAGAATGAGGACCAGTTCAAAGCACAGGGAGCTGGGCAATTTTATTGAGACACGCTCTCTAGGAATGTTACTGAATAAGATTCTAGACAGCTTCCAAACTAAGGTAAAAAAGATGAATAATTAAAACCTCTC